GATCGTCTGATTCCGCGAGATCGGAGGAAGAGGAGGAAGAAGAAGAGCCGGAACCCGTGGGGTCCTGCGGCAAGCCTCAGACGGCCCTGTGTCGTCTTCTATATCATATGTACGTCTTCTTCACTTTCTGCACCGGCTTGTTCTCCGCCGACGAGTTGGCGTTCTTGCCATTTGGATTCTTGGGTGGTACATTCAGCACCAAGTTGATCGACTTGTTGTTGAAACCCGGAGATTCCGAACTTTCCGTCAATCGGTTCAGTTGTTGTCGTTGCTCCGACGGTTCCGGGTAAGGGGCACTGCGTAGCCTCTGAGAGAACCAGAAACCGGAAGCGAATCCGGCTACCAGCGAGAAGAAGCAGGTTCCTATCAGGGCACCGGTCAGAGTCTGAGCGGAGTACACCACCGGTGTTGCGATCACGTCTGCAATGAAAGCTGAATCAGTATCGGAGGGGACTGGATAGCACGATTTATCGTCTCTTGATGGAAAGACGGGCTTTTTCATGGACATTGTTCGCCGGAAGAAGAAATCGTAAAAGAGGAACGGAAAGGAAACAGATTTATCCGGCGAGGAACGCGGCGCGTGTTTTTCGTTGCACAGGGTCCTTTGTAACCGATGATACGATTGGATTCTACGTGAAGAAGAAGGTAACTAAAGAACACAGATCCTAAGGAAAAATTCGAAATATTTAGTACGCGGCTTCGTTTTCAATTTTTAGCGCGTGTTTTCCTTTTCCGATAATCCAAGCAGTTTATCGCACGATAAACTTCCGTAAAGGAGAAAACGTTCCTAATTCGTTTTACAAAGAAATTTCTCATCCTTTTGCACCTAATAAATATTTCAAATCGCTGTTTTCACAAACGAAGCCTTGTACGTAAACACCTTGTTCGCACTTTCTAATAAATTCCTCTATTCTCCAATTATACCAGCAATTACAAATTTCTGACAACAGCGACAAATGGAGTAGCTCGACTCGTGTCAGCCTTTCGTTACCATAACGTACGATCTCCGATCGTGTTGCGTCAAAGTAGCAACGAAAGAATCGGTTGCTTCGTTCGCACATCGACGAACACCACGAAATCAGCGTGTCATAAAGTTTCTGTCAGAACAAAGTATTCGATCACCCAACAGCGACGATGTAGATATTACACGTTTATCCGAATCTCCGTGAATTTCACGTATTAAACGTGCAAGTGTGAGATCGATTGACCTCATGCTTGCGATCTTCAAAAAACGTGTCCGAGCGTTTTGCACTGGTCGAAAAACGCGATTCTATCTAGCGTGGCAACAACCGATCGTTCTATTCTCGGCTTGGACAGTATTTAGCGATCGCTCGTTGCGTTCACCGTTACATTTAGCACGAAGAAATCGAATCATGAAATTGGATCATCGGCTGGAGGAGATTGCGATGTTAACATCCATCGTGGATGCAATTCTCTTGGCAGAAGCACAATTTCATGGTTCGAGTTTCGTTCGTCGCGGTGGATGCCAGGCAGGATCATGTTCACGAGTTTTTCCACGCGTTTCTTTTCCTCTAGTTGGCTGCACTTTTAATAAAACCAGGTAGCAGGGACGCGAGTGGTCGGTGCAACTAGTTACAAACAACAGGGTGAGTACGGTGCACAAAGTTAGGACACACTGTATACGTGAAACATATACATATAGACGAGGAGAGCCGCAACAGTGTAACGAATGACGAATGAGAGAGAGCTAGCTTCAACTATCTGTACGTGTACAATGAAAAATGGCTACTAAAGTTGTATGTTTACGCGTTGCCTATATACGAGGAGTTCGAGTTTTTCTGTTGATCAAATTTTATAAGTATATTCTGTTGATATAAGTAAGAAATAAATGTTATACAAACATATGTAGTTTGAAGTTTTATTAAAAAGTTACGTCAAAAATACCAGACGCTAAGAGGACGATAACGGACTTGCCGTTACTACGATACAAAGTAAGAATCGACAAGAAGCATCTGCGGCTTTCCTATTTCGAAAACAAAATCAAATAATTTGTACATTATCGATGTTGTTAAAGCAGCACCGGTAGAGTTGATATCGTTCCTTATACAACATTTCTCTACTTACATACAAAATCCTCTACTTGAAAGTTGAAATGTTGAAAATACAACATTTTTATTTTCATCGTTGTAGCAGAGTACACGTATAAAATTTGACTAGGCAAAACTGGGCAAAAATTTGACTAGGCAACCGTTAGGTTGTTGCAAAAGTTTCTTTCGTTTTATAAAGTGATGATAGATGCACGACACTTTTTGTGCTATATATTTTGTTTTATTTTATATCTGTTCTGTTGGAACAAAATCGACCGTACATGATTCAGTGAAATAATATAAAACAAAAAAATGTCGTGCATCTATTGTTTCCTAATAAAACGAAGGAAACGTTTGAGACAGCCTAATCTCTTGTATACGTACGGACTGGTGGATGACGATGGATTGAAAGCAAGGCGTGTATGTGTGTGTATATATGTGTATGTGCGTGTATGCGTGTGTGCGTGTAATCGAGATTAATGAACAAAAGAAACGGAAAAAATGTATCGTGACACGAGGTGTGGGTGGACCATCTGGATATTGCGCAAATGATTACCTTGAGGCTCGTTAGCTCGTGGCTGCGTACGACCGTACTGATTTTCTCGATCCAGCTCGATGACGATTTCATTGTCCCGTTCATCGGGCTGCTCGCCTCGCCCGTTTTCGGGCAGAATCGCTGGTTGCACGGGCTTCACCATCTCTGAAGCAACATTTCACTGATTTGATGACGAGAGCACAGATGGCAAGTCGAGTTTAAGACAGACAAAACAAAAAGAAATGATGTTCTGAGCGTAAAGTAATGATTCGTAAGTACGTTGGTCCCTTTTTCAATGGTTGACCACGGTGGGTCGAATTGCATGCGACTGAAATATACCAATTAACAGAGGGGACGATGCAAAGTTAAGTCCGTGATCATGATTTAACAATAATTGATGGCAACTTTGGTTTGCATCGACTTCTGCGAGATCGATTTATTAGCTGCCAATTTCTTCTTCCTTTTTTTTTTTTTTACAGATTTTAATACTATTCTATGCCTTTCAATGCTTTTAAACAAATTTGTCTTTTTAATATTCTATATCAAAGTCCGTTTATATACTTTCTATTGGCAGATAATGGATTAATAATTTGTATTGCAAGATAATGAATTAAGATTAGCGAGTGTGCAGTTGATTAATACGAATAACCGAAACCATTGTTATTTAACACGTTCACGCCGATGTGCAATTATTTGTATGTAAGACATTCTCAACAGTGAGTCGGTTTACTACAAATCAACAAAATTGGTCTAATTAATTTAGAAAAAATCACAGGAAGGAAAGAAGACGATCAAAGATTTGTCCTCGAAGCTACAAGCATACGCATAGGCGTGAACCATCAACGTTAATAATTAAAATTGTACTTGATCGGGTTGTTAGTGACACGAGAACAACACGTTTCGCTTAGATACGATCGTTTACGAATCGGCTATTAAAAAGGAGGCCAATATGATCTCGTAACTTTGCTGTTACTTGCCATTGAGAATGACACTTGGACATCTCGATGGTATGACGCACAACACGCGCGCATCGGCGCAATGTGGACATACAAAGTGGTCAGGACGAGGTTGTTAAACAATGCGGCATCACGACATAGATAGAGAATAGCGGTAGTAGTATGCGAGAAGCGTAGAGTAGGTGACGGTGAAAGGATTAAAGCGGTTTGCAAGAAAATAAGTATAAGTAGTCGTCACGGTCAACGAACGAAAGGGGTCCATCGGAAAAGGATATGCAGCATGTGCTTTTATCGACTCCGAGGCTCGATACATGGACATACGTAATACGTTGTATTATGTTGCAGCTATTTTATCTACGATCTCAGTCTCTATTCGAAAGCTGGAATTTTAATAAGGCTGCAATTTTTATTGTTTTAACATGGCGAAGGAAGGTTCGTTGTGCGTAAATAGGAAACTAAGAAGCTTCTAGTCGTACAATCGATTCGGTAGAAACATATGGAAAGTTTGCTTCCTGGATTTTAATTTAAACGACAGAAGCAATTTACTGAATTTTTAGTTTGTTCAAAGGAAAGTACAACGTGATGTTCATGTTAAGAGGGTTGCCGGATCGGGCTTCTACCATGGGTTTTATTTCTACGCGTTCCAGGGCTTCTCTACGAAGCTTCTTTCAAAAGTCGAATTTTCTGTAGATATCGTTCACGTCTTTGGAACACTTAAAAACAATGTTCAACGCGAGTTTTTGAAACGTTGCATTTTTCTTTACAACAGTGCGCGTACCTTAAAAACCACTTAAGCTGGAAAGTTGAAGTTTCAAGCAACACCGTAAATAACTACTACCTTTATGTTTCAAGTTTAAATATATCTGACTAAGTTCTAACGTAAAAGCAGCGTGTTTTGTTTATCGTATTCTACAAGTTCTTTATATATAAAATATAAAATCTTTACATATCATCGAAGATGCAACGGTCTTTCAAATTTCAATGTAAAGTTGTACTTGTAAAATAAACCTTGAAGCTGTAAGGAAGAATGTTTAAAGTTAAACGATATAATTTTCCATCTTCTAACATTATTATACATAATACTTTCTTCTTTTTACTATTTTCAGCGTTGGTATAAGTATAGCTATATTTCCAAATACGTCACGTGCAAAGCGCCTTTGAAGAACAAAGCATTCGATAATAAAGCATCAGAAATCTACGTTATTATTTTTCTTCTCTATCGTGTCGAGTAAAAGTGTAAAGGAAGAATCGTCAGCGTTGTGAAATAAAGCTAGAATACCAAGCTCGAACGTCGTGTGAAATTCAAACGACGAATCATTGTAACTAACAGCTGCAGTTTTCCTTCTTCCTCCTGCGTGTACACTGTGTACAGAGTTTCAAAACAGAGAAATGTCCTTTCGAAGATGATCGATTCAATCACGTCCGCGGCATATTTCCAACGTTTCGCAGTCCCGAGTTCCTCAATTACGTATCGCGGTACCCAAAGTCAATTTATTTGTCCGCTAGCCGTTTCAGCTTTAAAGAGATCCGTTATCGTGTCATGACAAAGGAACGAGGACAGCGTTGCGAAAAAATCAACTTCTTATCAATTATAAAACACTTTCTAGATGCTTCGAGCAACTGAGTTTACTCGTTTTCGCGTAGTTCCCATTTTGCCGCGAAATATCCGCGAAATAGCGGTAAGAAATTTTTGTTCTGGACTAGCACCGCGAGATTTCTTTCCATTCTGCTCTCTACTCGATAAAAGGTATAAAAATTCAAAGAACCGTACGTCGTACCGGTTCTCTACGATCGATGCTCGTTAGTCGGGCAACCTGCGAGCGTGATAAGATGCACAGAGGAATAAGGTCCGTAGTTAGAAATTATTCCGTGGCGAGTTTATCGAGAGCACGTCTGCACTCCGAGGAAATTATATGTGTCTCGGTGATAAGCGCAGTGTGCGCGGCTCGTTCTTGCATTTGTGGGCAAAATGTTGGCAAATCGTGGCCACGCCTCCGTCGAATCTGTTCTCCAGAGAAATCGCTCTTTCGCGTCCCTATTTAACACGATCATCGCGCACGTCTAGAATTCGCGATGAATCGTATTAGGTCATTCCACGAGTTCGCGATCTTTGCAACAGACCAGTCGGAAATAATGGAATATGCGTAGAAGGAGGAACAGAAACACTGAAAAATTCGCGACTGCATAGAAAGATAACGTTTAACTTTGAATTATATTTTTATTATATTATATCATATTAACCGTCGAAATATCCAGCCCCTATATCCATAGTTGGAAATGGGATAATCAATCAATGTTAATAATTGATTCTATTTTCATTTTATCGTAGCAGTTCAGAATTAAATATGAATTTTCGATGTTTCACTTCGTAACCGAAATTCTCTAGTGCTCTTAACAGGTTGACTGCCGCGCGTGTTTTCAATGAAATCTCCTTCAGGCCACGAGTGCCGCTGTATCAAACGTACTCTGTTGGGTACTCCCACCGATATTTTAGATAACTTAAAATCTATGCCCTAATTCGTTACAACGTCGAAAAGGAAAATGGAAAACTGATTTCTTAGTGAGTCAAATAGCAATGAAAAAGAAAGCTTTTACGAGGTTTACGCTAATTCGAATAGTAGCGACGAGGAAGAAATCGGATTTCATAGAAATAGAAATATAAATAGAATTACACATCGTTTGATTCTGATTCGGATATTGATAAGTGCAATCGTAGTGATACTGAATGTAATGAAGATGCCTTTGACGAGATTTTACAAAAATTGGTCATTGAGGAAAAAAAGGAACCGATGATACCGAGGAAAGTACAATTCAATTTGGCGAATAAAATGAATTTAGTCGTCGGCAGAAGTCATTCCCTTTTCCTGAGACAGACGGCCTCGTTAGGCAATTACCTGGCGATGTCAATCCATCGATGTGTTTGAGCTGTTCGTTGATGACGAAACGATAAACTTACTTGTATTAGAAAATTGCAACAAGAAATGACGTAAATATTAGAAGATTTAGAGAATTATTAACTGGAAAATTATTAGGGTTGTCTGAAAATACAAAAAATCCTCGTGTTCAACGGAGTCAGCATAATATCGCCGTTTGGAAAAATGATTAGACGCGCACGAAAACTATGTTATGCAGATAAAAGACGTCAAACGGGCCGATCAAAGACACGAAGAAATTTAAAGAAAACAACAACTTATTGTCCAAATTGTGCCGACCAAACTCACCTTTGTATAGAACGCTTCAAAGTTTTACGTTCTAAATAATTTTCTTAATAAACCATTTTCGTACTACTTTTATAACAATTCAATAATTGTATTATTTCCTGCGGAAAATCTTTTCAAATACCTACGACGATTCTTCGCAAGTAGTCAAATAAGAGTCACCCGAATACGGGTGACGCGGCCCTCTTAGAAACTCTGTTGTCACCCGAATATGGGTGACGTGGCAGTCAACGCGTTGAAAAGGGTTTCGACGAACATCGCGACGGTGTTTCACGAGAAATTTCACTGGCGAGGATATCGATGCAGCAGCACTTCTCAGCGTATAATCGGCCGAGCAGCTGTAAGTATCGCAAACCAGTTGCAGCCGATTAAAATTAATCCGAGCGGGCTGAACCATTTCCGCGTGTGGATTTAAGAAACGAGCGTAGCTAGTTAGAGCAACAAGTAAGACTCGTTTGGACCGGTGATTTTCTCTCTTATTAAACTTTCACCTCGATGCAGACGTGGCAGCGGCATTCGGAGGAGCTTCTTTAACGCGCGACGTGTCCGCGCGTTACTTGCAATAATGGCGAGTACCTTTAGCCTTAAGAGGCAATTTTCTTGCAACGTGTGCGTCTCGAGTTTCAATGGAGCCAGTCTTTTCTGCAATTTCGTCTCGTGGATAAATCATGCGACCGATAAAAGAGTAATAGGTCAAACTAGTTGGTGGAGACAAGCCTACGCACTTTGCATCGACACGCGATCGGTTCCATGGAACGTAAGAGGATTGAAGCCACGAGAGCAATTTTAACGGTCTGTGATTAACGCGCTTCAGCTCCGTACATTGCGTGATCGTGGTAAGAGTAACAGGATTTATGGGATTATTTGATTTAATTCCTAGATTTTGATAACAGGTCTAGTATTTACTCGAGACATTTTGTTATTTTCTTTGTTACCGCGAACGGTTGCACCTACGATTTTCCGCGTATAAATTTCCGTGCTTAATTAATCGCTACGATTAGCTTGCTATCGAGATTCGTAGGTTTTATAATTTACAGGTTTTATCAGGGCAAATATTTGCACGTGTAATACTACCGTTACAATTAGCTACGTGAATTATTATAAGTTGGAAATCAAGATTTCCGCTATAATGAAGAAGATTAGATTTCGCTCTAGTATATTTAGTATGAAGAAAATGCGAAACGACATTCATTTGTTTCAAATTTTACGTAATATTCTTAAACGGGATGATTCATACGTAGGTAAAAGACGCTGCCTCATTCCCATAAAGCGACATATAAATACTACCTTCGATTCTACCTACGAGTCAGCCTGACACAACCTCGCAGACAACAAATCATACTCGCAAACGTACTTCGAGTCTCCGTAGTAGAGGTAAAAGCAACGTCTGATTCACTGGCTATCAATGCCGGCAGACAGGGCGAAGCTATCGAGCTACCAGCGAATTCGCCATTTTGTCACGGTGTTGTGACTCACACCGGTGATCTACACCCCGTAGAACGCGTTAAACCGAATGTCGCGTCATTTGCGGTCGTTTCTAGGCCAGTTACGGGGAAAAAGTCGATTCCATTAGCGGTCGAGCGAACCAAATAGCAAAACGCAAAGGGTAACGCAACTTGCAATCGCTCTGACACGAGCGAAAGCGAGACTTTCCTTCGTAGAATGCTTCTTTGTAACGTACTTGAATCTTAGACACCGCAAAAGTCGATATTCTATGGACAAGTGATTTAGCTTGACGCAGGTGACGAAGGTGAGCTAAGTTGTAGAAAATAATGAAACTCCGTTACAGGATGATTACTCGCAAGATGAGAATGTGTACGTACATCTAACTGTGCTTTCGAGACTATAGCGGTTATTTCGTGGTGAACAGCGTAAGAGGAAACCCAGGAATTTTATGCGACGAAAACAAGCGAAGATAATAAATTGGAGGAGAAAATATGCGTTTGAGAAAACGCTATTGGATTAGCCGCAGAAAAGTAATTCTGTGCTTCCGATGTTACATTCTGTTTCGCTACTTCGATAATTCTAAACGTCGTTAAAACGAAGGAAAGTTACCACGAGAAGTCGTAGACGGTTTTACCCGTCAACGTAAACCAAGCAAACACGACGTGTAACGTTACCTTCTAATCACCGCCGTGTTTCCCGTTCGATCGTACGGGAAATCGATTTTCCCCGTGACAACCGCTCCTGGCTGTGCTCATTGTGATCCTGTGATCTGGAGCACTTTTAGCAGCGGTGAACGGCCAAGTAACGCTCGTTAGGAGCGTATCGGACGACGTAAACCGACGCATAAATTCCAATTTATCCTGCAGACCAGACGGTACACATCTGACGCTGTTGCACGCCGCGCCGTGTCGAATACCATAAATCGATTTCAGGATACATTTGCATCGGGCCGATAGCCCCGTTATCGCGTCTACGTATCTTCTAGCCCACGGTGACCAGTCGAAAGAAGCGTATTGTCAGTTCTACATCGCCTGCTACCGGTGGAATCGAGTCCGTTGCAGGTAGCTTAAAAATTGAACTGTAAAGTTTCCAACGCCTCGCTTTGAAGAAAACACGCGTATTTTCAAGTAAACACGAACCTAGATAAGTTGCAGCTCTTTATAACAGTATTTTGATGTTTTTTTACTAGTTGTATTCGCGAATACGCGCCGAATTCGATTCCATCGCTAGACCGATTGCTATCGGCTATTTGCCAGCTGAACCATCGTGCGAGCTATCGCGAGAAAAGCGTACGGTGAACGGTGATGAATATAGGGAAAAAAGCAAAAGGAGACTGGTCGATTGAAATGGACGGCCGAATAACAAAATATATAGTTGTTATGGCTACGATGGAGAAAGAAATCACGTTTATAAACGGTCGCGATACATCCATGTAACACGCGTCCCCTCAACGTCGCACGTGCTACTACGTCGCTGGCCGATGCGAATTTGATTACGACAGAAATTGATGGCCGCTGATATAACCAGCGTGAAATATGAATATGCCGAAGCTTATAAGATCGTTCGCGAGCGTACAAAGTAAATGTAAGTTTGAAGCGGTCCTTCTCGCGTCGCATCGCTCAGAAATGTCGCTATATCCGCTAGATGGAAAATTCGTGGAGATATTGGCGTGATTTGTTTTTAAGATTTCAAGAATTCTTCCTGTTTTCTTATTTTCTTGTTACTTATTTATTTACCTTTTTACTTTTCTTCTTTTCCATTTCTGACAGAAATTAGACAAGACCTGCAACCGGAGTGGAACGGTAAAATTTTCAACTGCGCCCGGGTGAGTTTAACCCAAGAAATTCTTCGGTTTAATGGACAAATTCCTGAGAGAAATTCCGCTTAAAAAGTTAAAGCGACGATAGACATTTTTAACATATCCTGTTTAGACGGTTCTTGTCTTGTCATTCTTTTTTCTCGATTCTACGAACATTTTTCGAACTTCCGTTCGCTTGTACTATCGCAAGACGAAATGAGATATCTTGCACTAAATTTACGCATTTTTGTAGAATTTATTACGAACGTGTTTCTAGGTAATAGATGCTGACAGCGATTAATTAAAATAGTTTTCCTCGTTATAACAAACATCTTACAATCTTTCGGGTAACAAAATTCTACGGTTAGAATTACTTCACTTTTAAGGGGATTTACACATTTTTACAAGTTCTCGGTTTTAAAAGTAGAATTTTTACGGGCAAAATGATTCTTCCTTTAAGGCGATAAAGTTGTCACAAACGATTTTGCATCTTTTGCAATTCTTTTCCCAAAAGATTATATTGTATGAATGGAAGTAAGCACAAAACCAAAAGTACGATGCAGGTAACATAACGCTATAAACTAGTAATCAGTAGTAGTTTTAGTAGGAGATTATTCACAGACGTACATATTCATTACGAAAATATCTCCTTTTAAACAACTCCTTTGATCGCAATTTCTCTTTGTTGTCGTCTGAAAAAAGATCCCAAACTTACTTTAACTATCTATCTCGTTTAACACTTTGGCTGCCACGCCGAAATCACGTGTTTTCGCTCAGGACGCCACGGGAGTATTTTTATTATTCAAAGCATATAGTGGCAAAATAATAATAAATTGATGATGTAAGACAACATCCTTCCCCAATGGACCGTTTATCTTATTGGTGGTGACCACCGTGGCGCCTTGGTAACAGCTGATAGCGACATATTGTAACAAGGCTTCGTTTGTTTCAACAAACCATTCGCATTCGTTCTTTCGTCGTAAGCAAAACGTCCAGAATACATTGTCGAAACGTGTAGAAGATATTAGTAAACAGTATTTGCTCATTCTATATATAATAGTAAGATGGAGAGACAAGCGTGACATTGTTATGATTTCGACGAAACATTCGGCTGAAATGGTGAAGGTCCGCAAAAAAAGTTATGTTTATTGGTGGTCACGGGTGACCACCGCGGTGCCTTGCTAACAGTTGATAGCGACGTATTATAACAAGGCTTCGTTTATTTCAACAAACCATCCGCATTCGTTATTTTATTGTAAGCAAAACGTGCAGAATATATTGTTGAAACGTGTAGAAGATATTAGACTGAAATGGTAGAGGTGCGCAAAGAAAATTATGCTTGTGATAAACCAATGGTAGTGGTAGATTACAACAGAGGAAAATGTGCTGTAGATTTATCAGATCAAATGGTAGCATATTCTACATCACATGGAAGGACCCTCAAGTGGTATATAAAATTAGCTTTAGAGTTATTGTTAAATACATCAATTTCAAACGCGATGATACTCTCTAAACAAGCAACAAAAACAAAAATCAAGGTATCTGATTTTAGAATGGCACTCGTAATGCACCTTACACAGTTCCATTCACCGGAGCCGTCAAATACACTTATTCCACAAAGATTGCGACACGAAATGCAGAAGAAAGAAGGGCAAGCGTACCTGGCAGGAAAATTTTGCAGAGAGTGTTATAAAAAAAATGTCACACAGTTAGGATCAAAAATTGCTAAGAATCGGACCAAAAAGGTGACCACCTATTGTCCAGATAGTATCGATGAGCCACATTTATGTTTAAAGTGTTTTAACACAGTGACCGTTAGATGCAAGATTTGTTCTCATTTTTTTTATCGATGTTCTAATAAAAATGTTTAATTGTTCAATGGGCCACTTTTTATTTCAAAGTATCTTCTATTTATCGGTTATATTCAAAATACCCTAACTGTCAATTTTCATACAATTTTTACAATTGTAAGAAGTTCAAGCGCTCCGGTCACCAATGACCAACGTGGCAGTTAAAGTGTTAATTGATAGCACTCGATAAAAAATTAAAAGGAAATTTGACCAACTATATTTCGCTATTAACCTTCGCGAACGACAAAGTATACCATCCACACGAATTTGCCAACATTTTTCCTCGAAATTCCAATTACGAGTCTCTCGACTGCTCGGCGTAACGTGATCTACGAAGCCCGAACCATACCGCATTCATAACTGTATTCACAATCGTACGGTTACGCGGCAAAGGCGTTGAAAATTCCTCTCTAGGAAGCGTGTTTCATCCGGCGAGCGAAACTTCTCCGTCGAGACCTCTTGGAGAGGAGAGGCTGTGAAACCGATCAAGGAGCGTGGCGAGCCAATTCTCACGGATAGCTCTCTTCCCCGGCATTTTAGCCCCGGTGTAAACGCGAAAAACCGGCGAAGTTAACCGTGCCATGGCTAAGTAAGCGAGCTACCGTCACGCTCGTTGAACGAGGAAAACTCCTACACGATTCATGTGGCTGTATACCGTGTAACTTTCCAACAATCCAGCTTCCAGTCAAAATGCCTTGGCAAACGTCGAATCGAGTACCACTTAACCCTTTCGAGACTGGCGGCATAATTACGTCTAAAAGGTAGCTTTTAGCAAGATTTTTTTTTATAACTTTTCCTAACAACGTCGAGACCTTTCGAGTTATACATAGTATGTACGATTTAACCCTCTGCCGGGGTTTCTATGGTACACGTTACTATTTTTTTAATCAAAAGTACTATTGGAGAACGCGTAATATAAAAAAGCAGAAGGAGGTCGCTTCTATAGGAGGAATCTTTAATCTTGTGCGAGATAAACTGCGTTCGATGATTTATTCCAATGTTTGTACAGCCGAAGAAACCGCCAAGATATAAAAAAATCGAATTACGTCCATTCGACGAGTCCCTTCGAGCGCATTATAATTCGTTTTAGATAAAACGTTTTTTCGTATAATCAATAGGTAACGAGTTGTTCTAGATAATAATAGTTTTGATTGACTTACCCTGTATACCAGAGGGACCTAATTCCTCTAACGAATAAAACTTACATTTTTGCAGTTCAGTAAATTGACATATAGCATTTTTGATATTATCTCCGCAAGAAAATTTGTTTATCGGTTAAAAACGTCGAAGTGCCGTAGAGAGACCATAATTCGATTGCGCAATATCTAGTGAATATGGAGGTTGTGCGATGACACTTTCCAATCTAATTCAACTAACTTTTTCGGCCTGACCTTCGCAAAGTGCGTTATCGCGCTATAGAATTACGTATTTATTCTTTTTCAGCGAAAAGACGATAGGCCCATTTATTTTTATCTTTTATCTAGCCGTCCTCGATTAATCGTCGTACGGATAGATCTCCTGTTAATGCGTTTTTAGTATATCATACCGTTCTACCAAATTGAAAGCGTTAGTTGTTTCTTTCGTTTAAATTCTGCTTAGAAACTAACGTTTCTCGCTTCTTACGAGAACCTACAAATCTCACAGAGACTCGTCGTATTAAGTAATCGCTGCTATCAGGATTGCCAATCCTTTGATAGAAAATAAGAAAGAGAGAGAAAAAAAAAGAAAAAAGAAAGGAACCAATCAGCGTGAATTCACTGAAAAAAAAAGAAAACGGAAAAATAGAAATTCAAGCGAGAACGACAAGTTTACATTAGATACGCGTCGATAACGTTTGATAATCTCGCGAGAGATCGAGCTTTAAATGTCTCAACTCAATTAAGGAGAGTTTGCGTTAACGGGAATTACCTTGCTCGTAGCCGCAGCCCTTGTGTCTGCCGTTCATAATGTCCTGGAAGAGGGTTTTGTCAGCATCGCTGTCGTGCAGCTTAGTCGACACGGCCACACACAGATTCTTCGTAGCGTCCCAAGCACAATGTGGATCCTGAAGTGCAACGCAAGACGCGCAGGTGACCGCCGCTGCCGCGTCGCAATGATGCAGTGGTACCGCACGAATTTCGGAGTCAGCAAACACGACCAACTTGCTCGCCTCGCCGGCCAGGTGGACCACCAACAGATCCTTGATCGCTTGTCCTGAACGTGAACGGAATTGGACGCTTTAATTCTCGTGTAGGGATTAAGCACGAAGGGATATCGGCTCGTCGTTCGGAAGAAAACGTGTTTGCTGCGGTTCGTGCGACGTAATCGGTCAACGTTTCACCAATGTTGGAAATTTGATCAACGAAGATTACTCGAATAAAAAGACTACTTTAATATTAATTAAAATTATTATGTTCTTCGTAATACGTATTATTAGGATTTTTGTACATGGTAATTCAACGGATTGATTAAATTCTTTGGCTTAGAATTTGAACATAGATAATGTGATTTCCATAATTGGATCGATGCTTATCGGATGTGGAACGATCGAACGTTGAATTTCACGAGGCTTCGAGCGTTTCGTTTGCAGGGAAAAAATGCGTGGAGATTTTCGAGGACCGCTTACCGTACTTGAGTACTTGAACATCGCTGACGATGACCTGGCTAACGTTGTTCAGAGAATCCGGCGCTCGAGTATTGAGCGCTTTGAGAACTCGGCCGTCGTCTACGAATAATTATGAAATTATCATAATTAAATGCCGTACGAGTGCTTTTGTTCGCCGTGCTGCACAATTGCGGTAACTCACCTGTTCCGACGTACAGGATATCGTAGGCTTTGCCATCCAACGCCTTCACTTGAGGATCCACGGCGACTTTGGTAAATCTGTAACTGGAATACGACACTTTGGTTTGATCGTCGCTCTTTCAAATTACATTCCAACATCGTACTCTTATAATTGGTATCATTTTCGACACTCCAAATAATTGGAAACTCTACGAGATTACGTCAGCTGTGACTGTACCGGAAATTAATGTTGAACAAGTTGCATTGCCATTTTGTATAATTCCATTCATTTAGCAATCTTGCTTGTTATAGTAAGTTGTTACGAAGCAATGTTTGACTTGAACATAAAGTTAGTTGCTGTCTAGTTCGCCTTCCGACTGCTGCTACTACTACTACTACTACTACTACTACTATTACTACTACTATTACCACTACTGCTATTAACAAGTGTTTCGATAAAGCGGCTATCAAGCAAAGATATGTTCAAATATTCACAACATATTCACGGAAATAATAAAGTCTATTCGTCTTCTATTCATAAGATAACTTGAGCAACTTGAAGAACCAAGGAAAATATATAATCCCATTAAAAAAGTAAAATGTATTTACGCAGGAAAATCCTATTACAACGTAACACCGCTTGGAATCACAAACAAAGAAATGGTGAATAACGAGTAGCAAGTACTTACTTGAAGCTGACTTTAGTTATCACAGGTAATGAAAAGAAGGATTGGACCGCATCGTCCATGAGGGGGTGCGCTTTGACGAAATTTACGGTCACGTCTGGAAGTGTCCTGGAGTCGTTTACGCATGCACCGGGTCTAGGCTCGGGCACCTTTTCCGGAAGTACTCGCAACCAGTTGCTGTTTATGGTTTCTTGTTCCTTGAACGCACCCTGGAAGACTTCGAGGACGTTCTTCATGGAGAAAGCGCAAACGGCCGAACCGCCGATCGAATTCACAGGGGTTGTGAACACCCCATAAACCAAACGGGCACGCTCGCCGGCGTAAACTCCTTCCGTGACGTCGCTCGTTGACTCTGAAATAATTGTAAATCGCTCGATAAATCGCTCGTCCTCTACATACCGCGCTTTTCTTTGCTTCATTTCACGCGTGGCTCACGGGCATCGATTTTCGACCATTACCACTTTTTCCATCGATTTAGTCATGTTTCTTATTCCAATTGGTTGCTTTTGTAGCTATGTAATTTTTCTTTCGCTGCTTCTCTTTTAATTAAATATCGAATTGACATTTTTAAATTTTGACAAACGTGTTCTTTCTTTTTGCAAGTTTCTCTGTGAGGAAGGAGTCGCGCGAATATCTTACGGTATGGCGAAAATGAATATTTCTAGAATTCTTTGCGTTACTATACGTTGTATTACAAACGTATTCAATCAAAGTTTCTTATTCCGTATAAAACAATATTATTATAATTAGCTTTACTTTGTGTAACGATGTTATCAAGTAAAATTGCCAGTTTCAGCAGTTTATTTAAAGCAACAGTATCACAAAATCAGCCCCTTTTTAAAAACGTAACAAGTTCCCTTGAAACTTTCCCTAACATTGTTCCCTCTAATATTAACAATTTATTACGCAACATACGAAAACCTGTAGTTACATAATTCTATTACACGTTTTAGAAGAGTTCAACGTTCGAAGCACTTCGAGTATCATAATTTAATTATTATCAGTACCTCTACTCCTCCATGTTACCGATGAAACCAACATCGCGTAATACATATATGTATGCAGATACGTATACATATATACTATACACGGTACAAGGATTAAATTCTACGTACGGCATTTTAAGAGAATTTCAATTTTCGATTAACTGGTTAGGAGGGTAGAAATTACTAATCAACGATTGCTACACGCAGTATACGCACGGTACCGTACTCCATTAATGCGATACCATCGTTAAGTGATAATAACAATTTTGTGTCGGTTTGTCCATAACGCGCATTATAAAATTAGTATCCTTATAAAACTAACAGTTGAAGTGGGTGGTACCTGCGAGAAATTGTAATTTCCTGGCTGCTAATAAGGTGTTAATATTAATTTGAACAGCGACCTCTTGCATAATGGGGTGAATGACGTTACGCCATAGCGTAATATCAATTATGCTAACTCGTGTGTGTATATGTAGGAAAACATGTCCTTTTCGAGGCTGCTCCACTCCCCACGTAAAATGTTAATATAACATTTTCACGTATTCGATTTAATTGAAAACCACTCGCTAATACGTCGTTGGTTAATGTATTACGAACGATATAGATCATTTCATCATTCATGTTCAGTGTCATCGTTGCAACATTGAAAATTACTAATTTACATTAACGCGATAGTTCTTGTTAATTAAGCGGACACGAAATTACAACGGCCGTATGTTTGTCCCTGTGAATTAGTTTGCAATTTTCAGGGAAAACTAAAATCACGAATTACCGAAGATCACTGTACTTCATCTGAATACTATGATATTACACGTAACAAGATGTATCATTTTGCGTCTTCTAAAGCAATTTTATAACTTTTTGCAATTTTACAGCAATTTTACTATTTGATACGTTGTCAGTTAATCCTATTCAATTTCTACTCTCTTTTATTTATCTACTTGTGCGTTTAAACATTACGCTATTCTTACGTAAACCATCCTGCTCTGCAAAAATTCTGTTACTTTGGTATAACATTGTGCTGTTATACCACTTTGTAGCCATAATTTCCTCTACTTGAACTTGCAAAGGCCAAAACGGATAAGGAAAAGAAATTGAAGGAAAGAACGAACGAACGAATGAATGAATGAAGGAAGGAAGGAAGGAAGGAAGGAAGGAAGGAAAGAGGCAAGAAGTATGAAAAAGAATCGATGTCAAGTGGAAAAGAGCAATCGTTGCAAAACATAGGATCGAGTATGACGTTAAAGAGGTTCGTCTAACGAGTTACCCTCACAGCCCGCTTGCATAGACAAAAATAAGGATCGGTCTCACAAAGAGCTCTTGAGTCATCTTAAATTCAAATTTGCCCTTAATGCATAGTTCGTGTGACACGAGCCGTGCCTTGATGTTAGCCTTTAAATCACGGACGTTTCGAATCGCTGCGCTGGTACACCGGTAGCCGATGATGGCCATTAATATTAAAAATTCCCCGGGAACAATAACGTTAAAGAACCGTAATCCAAGCGAGCAAAGACTGAATGGAAGTCGGTTGAAAGGAAACGTAGCGAAAGTTTTCTGTCACTTGCTCGTTAATTCCGCACGAGCGAGGCTAAAAACCATTAATGCGGCCATTCTTTGGGGGGCATTAGCACGAAGAAAGGGTAATTCGTGTTCGATAAAACATTGAATAAAACGCCGAACTGACGTCTCCCAGTTACGATATGCTGGAAAACTCCCAAGGTGCTAGCTTCCAGAAATCACCAACATTTTATTGTTTTTCTTTCTTTTTTATTGTAGGTATATCGATTCGAAAATCAACTTGTTATCAGATAATGATATTATCGTTTAGCTATATAATTAATAGATCACCAAGCATTGTCGTGCTTATTGGTACAAACACGTTAAGATAGTCGGAGGTATAGGCAGGTATAGGTATGATATTACTTTTGTGTAATTAAATTTTCTCGAGAATTAAGTTTCTTATGTTTCGTATAGCAAGTTCGACTAATTCGAAATAATTTTACGTGAATTTTAATACGATTTTTAGCGAAGAACTATCCACGTTTTACGGGAAATCGAGTTTAGTTTATCAGAGTTAAAAGTTTAGTTTCCTTTGCTCTTCTGGCGCTCGACTCATTCTTGTGCAACAGTTATCACTCGTTGGCCACCATGTTTACAAATTTCTCAATTTTTGCTGCACTGGATTTACGAGTTTATTACTCGCAGTAAACTTCGCCGGGAACTAAGCTAATTTCGCTAGAAAGTTACCGCTAAAGGCCAGTGTCCCAGTTTCTATCAGCTTAAGAAATCACCTCGGTGGAAACTCGGAATGACTTCGTCAAACTAATAAGGAATTTTCAAAAAACGTGTAATATTTGTTTCTCTCTCTCTCTCTCTCTCTTTATGATAAATGTTAACTTTCGCATATTTCTTACAAGATTAATCAAACACTAAGTACCAGACTTTAGATAGCTACAATTTTTAATCGTTTTCTATTATTCCCTTTTTACGAGTTTCAGCACGGTACACCATGAAATGCTAACACATGTCGGAACGCACTAGCAAATTACTTTTGAAATTCGACGATTCTCGTAATCTCCCGAATATTTTGGAAGCAGAAGCCGGAAGCGTTTTATGTGTCGATATTTTATATGATAAACTCAATATTCCACGTGTAAGTTAATTTGAAAGCTTATTTTTTACGAATATACACCTATATTATCGTGAATATTATTATCGAGTAAAATCTAATCGATGAAAAGATGCATAAATTCTTGGAATTCTAAGCTTGGAAAAACGTAAGGGAAATCACGACAACGGATAGTCACATTTAACAGGACGAAACGTCCACAAGTGCTCTCCGTGGTGCGATGAATTCAAAAGTGAATTTTGCGAGAAGGTGCGAAATGTAAAACGGTTTTCCACTGCTGAAAGAACTCGTCATGCCGTACACGTTAAGCGGAATCATGTAATTACAAATTCACCGACGGAAATTCGGGAAAAGCAGAAGCTGGAAGGATGATCAACGGGCCGAAAACGCAGCGACTTCGAGAATGCAAATTGTTGTTCGTTTCTTGTCAAAGCGGCAAGCACCTCGCTTTCAAAGTTGCGCGCTTACGGAAGCAGTTTTTAGTAAATACACTGCTAGCCTTAATAAAGCTCCGCATCCTTGATCACGAAAACACTCGACCAGCTGAATAGACCAACTAAGTTGAGGCTGCGTCAGTGTTACCAGGTTTAGCCTCTTTAAAAGGTTCGGTTAATTGTTTTCGTTTTTTATAGGGTCCGGATTTTAAAGAACGATGCTAACCCAGCGCTTCTATTTTTATTTAGTCACCGACTGATGGTATAGGTCGATGAATTTTAATTAATTCATTGTTCCGCTATTATATAAGTAGCTTGAATAGAGGAGGTAAGTACGAAGCAAGTATGAAGATACCTACAAAAAGCGTTTTCCAGTTGCTTTTAAACTGATTTCAAATTATTTAAAAAGTTTGCACGATATTTCAGTGCTTACTTGAATTCGCGTTCGACGAATACACGTTACAAACGCTCGTTCGGCGTTTTAATTTATATTCTACGTAATCCTTTAAAAATTGAAAAGTTCTTTGTAATCCATGTACAGGTGCCACTATATAGGATTTTATTGTACACATTTATTGCGTTTAAAATCAAAAGTCGTTCGTAGTACGCGGCACGGAATGAAAAATGGTATTGTTTTTACTTTCTAAGGCTTCGATTAGCAACATCGAAGAATTATAATGAGCATTTTCTAAGCGAATATATGTGCTAAAAAATATACTACTAAAGTGTAGAAAAATCTGCAAATTGTTGGAGAGATGTTCGTTTCTCTTGGATATTTAAAAGCAAAGCTAAAATGGAAGCATAAAATTGTATACGTATTCTTTGCGAAATCCATTAGCGTGCAGGGAATAATGATTTCTGTTTAACAAAGATACGAATAAAGCTACTGGATATTAAAACTGTTTGTTGATAAACGCATGGTACGTGAATACCAGTTGGATGAAACTTTTCAATTTTCATCTGTGACGAAAAATCGAACGGAATGAATATACTAAACCAACAAAATGAAACCAACTCGTACGTTTCCGCAATATCGTATAACGTTCGAAGCGCAAATTATTTTGCTGGGAAAGCGAACGATCTGAAACAAAGATTTGTTCGCGATTATGTTTATTTTACTTTTACAGATCTAATATTTTACGCGACGAGAAGTCACTTTTCCTACTAGTTGAAAAACAAGCACTTTCTCGCGATTCGACGTAGGTAGCGATGCAAGAGGAAAACTTGTCGTAAACTCTGATCAGTATGTGTTTCCTTTCCGAATTTCAGTCTAAGTTCTTTTCGAAATATGTTTTCCAAGTCGGTGCTTTCTAAACGTCCACGTGAGTTTCCGTTCCAATGTTACGTAACAAAATGTTTTTACTCCGACCCAATGGCCCATGTTAAAACTCTTCGCCAATACATCGGAGGCGAATATACACGAGCAACCGTGCTACTTCGGAAATCTTCTTCTGCATTCGACAAACTTTCCACGAAGCCGATCAAACATGTATGTCACTCATCTATAGAACATATTTTCTTTCGGACCTTCTTTCGCTCGTAACCTGAATAAGTTCGTTTAACCGAGATGCAAATGTGTCTTTTTCAATTATCGGGAAGACATTTTTATCTTAATTCATACGATCCTCCGATAATCTTTAATATGATAATACGACGAACTATGACTAACTTAGGTACTTTAATCGAATGGATAATACGCGTCAATAATGTTCGTGTATTCACCGATCTTTTTTTATCAGTCGCCTCACTTTCTTAACACGTTCAGACCGGCGTGCGCCACCGGTGGCCCACGCTTGAATGTTCCATCGAACGGTGCGTATCAGCCAAAATCTAGTTCGTTTAGTGACCAGAACAAATGGCCATACAGTTGAACATTTAAATAAATTTAACGTACATTAATTGAAGATAGTAGGATTTATTTAAAACAATAACCATTCAATGTTATAAATTTATTACAAGTACGAATACGAGCACAGGAATAAAATAGCAGCGCCAGCGTGAACGTATTAAGCCAACTCGTACTTTGTTTTAGATTCTTATCTGTTCCATCTCACTGCTTTATTTATCGCTCTGTATCTCACATACGTACAATGTTTTTTACTAATGGATTTTTCCCATCAATAAACAAATAAATAAATTAATGAAGTAAATAATTTTTGGAAACATGTATCTCACTGTTTCGATCGGAAACGTAAAATGTTTTATATTTGGAACGAATGTATTTCATTAGAAATTATTTTATACTTTCGGCTATACGCCGAGATTCAGTTTCGTTAAACTGCTACACAGTGTTACTGTGCAATTGCAATTACACAGTGCAATGCACGAAATTGCGAAAATTCTTCCCGCTTTTAGACCGAGAAGTTGAATATATTTTAAAAATGATTAGCTTGCGAAATGCACCGATTGATGAATTTACTTGATTATATGTAAGCAAATTTAACGAAGCCCCGAAATATGTACGATATAATAATGTTGCTATTATATATATTATGCATATGCAAGTATGGTATTATACTAATAGAATATTAATAGAATATCCGTAATTATATCATTATTAAAACGTTAATCTTTCGTTCATTTACGAGTATTTTGAAAATTCGTTCTACAATTTTCTAGTTGTGAGTGTGTAAAAATAATCTTCGGCTTTTCCTCTTACGATAAATCTGTACGTGAAAGTTTGCCTGGTATTGGGATGCGGTATTTGCAAAGGAACGATGTGTGTATGAGCCGGTTAGTACTTACTTTAAATAAGCCACGCGGATGAACGTGTGGCGTACGATCGTGAAAACATTGGCGAACAACGAGAGAATCGGCTGGGAACGTCGAAGGGGCGAGAGAACGTGGCTTTGTCCTTGTTGCTCGTCTCTCGTCCATTACCCTTCTTAAGTTTAAAAGTCGAATAAGCCAACCAACTTCCGCTTACGTTCCTCTCTTCGGAAAAGCACGCGTGAAAGTGGAAACTCGGCTACGTTGGCGAAAAACTTTTCGTCGGCGAATTATTCTTCCCCTTAAAATACGATAGGTGATATTTTTTCGGTCGTTCGATTTTAGTCAGAGACAAAGCATGGTCGAAGGAAGTTTGTCAAATTCACGTTCTTTCGGTTATCGATGAGGATTCTAGCGAGATCATTGGCGAAACGAGTAATCCCCTCGCTTTTTCTTTCCTTTTGAAAGGCAGTCAGAGGCCGAGGCTGATGGAAAAGCAATTTAAGAATTCGTACACTCGTCCCAGTTCAGTGCCAACGTACCGTTTTAATATTTGTCGACAGGGCAATTCTCAGTCGCACAAGATGATCGCAAATATTATCGATTATTGTATAAGAAAACAATGTGGTCACCTATATTGACTTAGTTAATTAAAGCTTCGTGTCACTTGAGCTATTAACACTTTTACTGTCACGTCGAAATCACGTGTCTTCGCTTAGGACGCCACGGGAGTATTTTTATTATTCAAAGCATATAATGGCAAAATAATAATAAATTGATGATGTAAGGCCGTTTATCTTATTGGTGGTTACAGGTGACCACCGTGGCGCCTTGGTAACAGTTGATAGCGACGTATTATAACAAGGCTTCGTTTATTTCAACAAAATATTCGCATTCGTTATTTTATTGTAAGCAAAACGTGCAGAATATATTGTTGAAACGTGTAGAAGATATTAGGCTGAAATGGTAGAGGTGCGCAAAAAAAATTATGTTTGTGATAAACCAATGGTAGTGGTAGATTACAACAGAGGAAAATATGCTGTAGATTTATCAGATCAAATGATAGCATATTCTACACCACATGGAAGAACCCTCAAGTGGTATATAAAATTAGCTTTACAGTTATTGTTAAATACATCAATTTCAAACGCGATGATACTCTCTAAACAAGCAACAAAAACAAAGATCAAGGTATCTGATTTTAGAATGGTACTCGTAATGCACCTTACACAGTTCCATTCACCGGAGCCGTCAAATATACTTATTCGACAAAGATTGCGACACGAAATGCAGAAGAAAGAAGGGCAAGCGTAGCTGGCAGGAAAATTTTGCAGAGAGTGTTATAAAAAAAATGTCAAACAGTTAGGATCAAAAATTGCTAAGAATCGGACCAAAAAGGTGACCACCTATTGTCCACATTGTATCGATGAGCCACATTTATGTTTAAAGTGTTTTAACACAGTGCACCGTTAGATGCAAGATTTGTTCTCATTTTTTTTATCGATGTTCTAATAAAAATGTTTAATTGTTCAATGTGCCACTTTTTATTTCAAAGTATCTTCTATTTGTCGGTTATATTCAAAATACCCTAACTGTCAATTTTCATACAGTTTTTACAATTGTAAGAAGTTCATGCGCTCCGTTCACCAATGACCACTGTGGCGTCACAGGAGAAATCGTGACCGGTCGTATATGCCCAACGTGGCAGTCAAAGTGTTAAGCAAATCCCTGAGAAATAGCTACGTATATTACGCTATGCGTCGTAAATCTAATCAATCGAGAAATCGAGGAAAATCTGTAAAAGTGAAAATCATATCCGATATGACTCCTAAGTAGATACGCGGTCTTGGGTGACTCCATCTTCATCAATTACAACGAGGCAACGACGACCGTTTAAATTCGGCCAGAGGAAAGTTTAATCGAGAGAAAATCGCTGATCCATGAACTTGCCGATCAGCGATGCTTTTCGTTAGATAAGTCCAAATGGGCGGGGGTTTCCCTTCAAGGCGTAGATAGACTTTATAGTTATGATAGTCGAGCGGACATGGTCCCGATTATTAGAGATCACGAGTAAATACAGATTTTCACTAAATTGTGGCCGCTGATAATTCATTCGGCGGGGCATACTTTATTTTGACACTTTCCGTGTCAAGTCTTTATTTCCGGATTTAAATTCGATGCTCTGTCGATTGAGGTTTTCATCGAGCATAGGAACGCGATACAATATCAACCGAACAGAATCGGTTTTATCGTATGTGAAATACATCGATGATATTTCCCTCCTTTGACACATTCGAACTGCTGTAATTTTGTGTAATTTAATACGATCGATTTCTACTTCTATCGAGCTAACTAGACGTTTCTCATCGTATGACAAAGCCGGACTTATTTCGTGCACGTCAAATTCTGGTTTCATTGACTGCAGATCTACTTGCAAAATATTCCGTTTCTTTCTTTTTGCTAGTTCAGTGCTTTTTGCTATCGCACAGCAATCAGCATCGCAAGCAAATTTCTAGTATCAAAAGTTACGCTATTCGTAGTAGAATCACGGGAATATTTCAACTTGTACAAATAACACGTTTCAATTGTTTCTCGATTACTACTGAAAGTCTGACACAGTTACGTTTTTTTTTATTGAAACAACGTTGCTTTTGTAAAATATTCGACGCAAAGATACGGCAGACATAGATGAATTTGTTAGAGTTAGTTCTGCATATAAGAGGTAGTTTGCGTTGAGTTATCTTTGACCTATAATGCATCACGTGCATTAAAGACGATAATTAAGTATTGATTAAGGCTGTTATGAAACGTGTCGTGATAGCATTTAATTACAGAAAGTATCGGTTAACTCAAAGTCTCTCGTGAATCACCGAGGAGCGTGTTATAGTAATAATTATCATTTTCAAGATACAACGGATCTAACATCAAGAGAACGTTACGACAGGCTGTTTTCCATTCCTAGACTCGATCTTGAAATTACTTTTAATTTTTAATCCGCGATTGCCAACACGTCCTAGGAAAAGTAAAGATTCAACAGCTTTTTTGGTGCTCGCTTAAATTCAACGATAACTGGAAATAGCTGGAGCGCGGCTAACACCATTGACAAAAAACTTTCAGCTAACAAAGGTACATATCCAAGCCGGAGATCCGGAAAATTATAGAACTTTGGTGACACGTAGAGCGTATATAAGCAAATATGCATAGACTTATAAGTAAATTCAAGTACCCGTACAATATTTCCGAAAACTTGTTTCACTAAGAAAAACGGATTCAACCGGTATACGTTCCATAGTAAATTTCAGTTTTTCATTGAAAGGATTTCCACTATTGTTCCAAATTCAACAGGAACAGTCGAGGAACAAAGATACGAATGGTAGCTGTAACCGATCGAACGTGAAAGAAATTCTACAAATTCTCGCGCGAAATACACGAGTCTCGAATGATTATACCGATGTTCAATTGGAAAAGACGCGTAAAAATTTATAGCGATTTATTTATTTGTCAGAAATATTTCAAACTTTCGAACAGACTTTTAGGAATAAAATATTTGTGATTGGATTTGTTATTAGAATCGTATAAACACACAAGAATCGAATATTAAGGTGAATCGAAAGTGGTCCGTTCCCTTCGAAACGAGGAAATTCCACCTTCTTTCTGATATAATGACGAGGACGAGAATCGCGCACCGACAGGCTGAGTAGCTGGTTTTCGCGGTGAAACAAAAATCGATGGTATATGCCTGAGGCAGGCTTTTTAATCACGATATACGCCGTAAAGGATCGCCGATACCGTTATTTGTTCTACGCGTTTTCAAAGGAAAACTGATTAATTCCAACGAGTGCGAGCGCGTGGCATTCACGCGTTAATACGTTATAAAAGTACGAGTTTGTTGGAGGAACTAGATGAGCTTTTCGAAACTGAGCGGCGAGACAAATTACATATTTGAAGATCGTTTAGTACATTTTTGATTATTTTAACGAGTTGCAGGAAAAGTCAGCCGTTTTCGGTTACCTTCGTTTCGCGTTTACGTCCGATCGTGAAATATTGTGACCCGCGTGTAATGGGACATCGTGGAAAGAATCGCGATATAGCTTTAATTAATCGCGTGTTTTCCTTTCCGCGATGTATCTGTTTTCGAGTTTTCAAGTTACCATTACTTGTATCAACGAATTTAATTTTTGCGGTACACCGCGGTAAAATTTGTTATGGTTTTCGAGTATTAAAATACCGTGGGAAGATATTGTCCCATTTAATCTTTTACCATTTGTAATCACAATTCTACAACGTAAAATATTTCTGTAAAAATATCAAATTGCCTTTGCACGTTCATTATAAAGTAACGAATATCGGTAATATAATAAAAATATGAATTCAATTGTAGAAATTAATTTCTATTTATTAGGCGTGTATCATTGCCTGCGTTATGAGAATAATTTCATATTATGAAACAAAGGAAAGCAATTCCATTAACGATGCAAATAACAATTACGTACTACGTTTCCACAAAGAACTAAATTATTCAACAAATTGATATCATTTGTATCGTATTGTTGAATTTAATACGAAGAAATTTTTGCCCACTAAACTCGCTCGTTTTTCCCCCACAAGTAATGTCGTTAATATTCTTTCCTTACGTGTCGTGAACGTGTCGATGGCACTACAATGACGCGTGATATCCAAAGGGTTAGAGATCATTTCCATAAACTTGAAAAGAAACGCAATCCCTTATCGTCCTTTCGATTACAAGTATAATACCCTATACGTATATCGATCGATGGCATCGAGCCATAAAATAGCGTTTCGAATTTCTACCACGATCTTCGATTTCCTTTTATACCGGCATTTCGTTAAGGACCGAAATTTTCCCAGAACATATCGAATTCTCGCGCATGGCTCCACCTCGGTACAAGTTACGATCAATAAAGAAGCAAAAGTTACAGCTACTTTGCATGCACAAGTATACTAATGATCTCTTTATTTTAGTTTACCTACGTGCCACCTACAAACCTAGTTACAGCTAGTTTCATCCGGGAACGAAAGAGGGTTGTTGTTAAGCTTTTCGTAACGGTTATCTCTGTCGAAAGTCAGTGGTACGACACGTTTGAGCGAAGCTCGTGTTACCATCGATCTAATCGATGGAAGACAATCGTCTTCTTAGCACTTTACCGACCAATAGCCGATTAATCGGATTCTTTTCGCCGACGCTTACCAACCGACAACCTATTAATCGGCTTTTCATCTCCGACGTTTATCAACCGATAGCCTATTAATCGGCTTTTTGTCACCGACGATCTTTCTCATTATTTGAGCTGTAATTTGTTATTTAGTACTAAGGCACCTTGCTCAGTTGCGTCAGTTGCGTTGCTTTATAAGCTCCCACATTTTTATACCAATTTGAGAAACCGAATGACAGAAAAGAATGGTATTGGAGAGTCTAAACTGAAACAGAGCCGGCGCCGGGGAGAATCTGCGCCTGAGTTGCCGGTCGGACGTGCGTATGCTGTTGAACCGCTAGCGGTCGGTAAAGTGTTAAAATTGTATTCGCGAGGAACAGATGTACTCGTCGCATTTTATACGGAGATTGTTTGGCGGCGAGCGACTATAGTCGTAGGAAGAAGAGGGTTAAATTTTGGGAAATTCTTTAGGAAGCTCGTTCGATTTATCCGAAAACCACGACACCTCGAGCCCGTTAGTTTTACGTTTCTTGGACGTACCGTGTCTCCGTGCCCCAGGAAACGTATTCTCGCGCAACTTCTCTATCCGCTCGATATGTCCCTGAGGCGCGGCGGCCCCTTGTCGTTCTTCGAGAATTTAATCTCGTATCGATTCCTCGACTTCTTGGTTTCCGGCGCTGCTAATGTCGCTGGATAATCTATTATTTCTAGCGTCACCGTTACACCACTAATCTCTTAACGACGATTAAAAATCGACGAATGGTAATTAGGCGACTGATGGATGGCTTCGGTGCATGATTGCTGCAGTTTACTGGCACTTGCAATTAGAATTGCGGGCGAAAGATCGAACCTGTTTACTTATAAACTATCTTCGAGTGCAGCGTCTGGATACCACCATTTGTGGCTACTATCGTAACGAATATCGACGACATTTAATAGTTTCCGTCGATTTTTACGTTTAAACAATCACGTTATCGAGACATGAAACGAATGGAGTTGCGTGGAATTTGTAAATAGCAAAGATATGCAATTGATATATCTGATTAATATTAAAATAATAAATACGATCCAAGTTTTCTGTGCTTATCACCAACGCTAATTTATCTACAATTTAATCGCAATTTATACGAAATCTATCCACGATTTATCTATAATAGCGGGAGAAACGAACGAACGTATGCCGGTTGATTTGTCAACCGTGTCCAGGTCTCTCTTGGCAGCTACGTTGCTATTATGCTACGAGCTAACGATAGCCAGATGTAACATTAACGAAACGAGTTCAGGGCTATCGTTGAAAGTAGCTGGAATTCCTGAGTGTTTGAAAATTTCAACTTGATAACGAAAACAA